TAGTGTTGTGAGTTCTGCTTCCATTGTTGACCTTGTTAAGATGGTCTGCTTGCAAGACTTCCAAGAAACAACGCCACCTCCATGAGTGAATACATATCCGCTCGTGGCCTTTATCTCATCAGCATCTGAGATCCAGTTTGAGTCACTATACCCTTCAAGCACCTTTGGGTGCCCAGTGTAGTGAATTCCATAATTCGCAGTGCCTTTCAAATAATGCAAAACTCTCTCTAGAGCTTTCCAATGCACATCTCCTGGTTTTGAAACAAACCGACTCAGTTTGCTAACAGCAAAAGAGATGTCAGGTCTTGTAGCACTGGCTAAGTACATAAGCGAGCCAATAATCTGAGAATACTTCAATTGATCTCTAGCAATTCTTCGATTCTTTCTAAGCAGCATGCTAGCATCATATGGTGTTGGAGAGGGCTTGTAGTCACTATAGCCAAAGTGACTCAAGATCTTTTCCACATAGTGAGAATGAAGCAATGTAATCCCACCATCATTATCTCTCAACAACTTGATGTTCAGGATGACATCAGCCACTCCTAAATCCTTCATCTCAAAACAGTGAGATAGGAAATCCTTGACCTTCTTAATAACATTCAGATTTGTTTCGAAAATTAGTATGTCATCAACATACAAGCAAAGCATCACTCCCTCGCCCCCACCATGGCGATAGTACACACATTTGTCAGCTTCGTTCACAACAAAGCCTGCAGCTGTTAAAGTTCTTTCGAACTTCTCATGCCACTGTTTGGGTGCTTGCTTGAGTCCATACAAAGACTTCAGCAACTTGCACAATTTCCCTTCCTGACCATCTATTACAAACCCATCTGGTTGTTCCATATAAATTTCCTCATCCAACTCTCCATTTAGGAAAGCAGTCTTAACATCCATTTGATGAATGAGAAGACCATGTGAGGCAGCTAGTGAAAATAGAACTCGAATAGTGGTCAGTCGAGCCACATGTGAGTAAGTATCAAAGAAGTCTTCACCTTCCTTTTGGGTATAACACTTAGCCACGAGCTGAGCCTTGTACTTTTCGATAGTACCATCAGGCCTAAGCTTCTTCTTGAATACCCATTTGCATCCTATAGGTTTGCATCCATAAGGATGATCAGTTATCTCCCAAGTTTCATTCGCCAAGATGGAATCCATCTCTCTACGAACTGCTTCCTTCCAGTAGTCAGCATCTTCCGATGCATAGGCCTCCGAAATAGAATTGGGAGTATCATCTATGAGATACACAAGAAAATCATCACCAAAGGACTTTGCTGTCCTCTGTCTCTTGCTCCTAGTAGGAACTTCATTGTTCTCCTCCACAGGACTTTCAAAGTGTTCCATCGAAATGGCAGGTTCGGTAATTGTAACTGGTTCCTGATTCGATGAACTAGCCATCTCCTGATTAGATGAGGTAGCCCTTCATGGGAAAGATATCTTCAAAGAAAGTCGCGTCATTCGACTCCATGATCGTACCGACATGCATGTCAGGTACCTCAGATTTTACAACCAAGAATCTATAGCCAATGCTATGAAAAGCATATCCCAGGAAAACACAATCCACAGTCTTTGGTCCAAGCTTCCGCTTCTTTGGAATTGGAACATTGACTTTCGCCAAACAACCCCATGTTCGCAAATAAGAGAGTTTTAACCTTTTCTTCTCCCATTCCTCGAATGGAGTTATCTCTTTGTTCTTTGTGGGGACTCGATTTAGGACATGACATGCTGTCAATATCGCCTCCCCCCACCATGCCTTGGAGAGACCCGATGTGTCTAACATGTCGTTAACCAAATCAGTTAGAGTACGGTTCTTTCTTTCGGCCACCCCATTTGACTGAGGTGAGTAGGGAGGCGTCCTCTCATGGATTATACCATGTTCCACACAAAAAGCATCAAATTCATTGGAAAAATACTCTCCACCACGGTCGGACCTAAGCCTCTTGATTTTTCGATCAAGTTGGTTTCACACTTCAGCTTTATAGATCTTCAAAAAGTTCAAAGTCTCATCCTTAGATTTCAGAAGATACACACGGCAATATCTAGTGGAGTCGTCAATTAACGTCATGAAATATTTCTTTCCACCTTTTGTCAAAACACCATTCATTTCACATAGATCTGAATGTATAAGTTCTAGTGGTGCAAGATTTCTCGTCTCTGCAGTCACGTGAGACTTATGAGGTTGCTTAGCTTGCACACACACTTGACACTTAGATCCCTTGACAGTGGTGAAACTAGGGATTAAGTTCAACTTCGCTAGTCGCAACATGCAACCAAAGTTAACATGACAAAGACGTGAATGCCACACATTTGATTCACTATTGTTGCAAACATGATTAACAACTTTATTGCAAATGTCTGATAAGGATAAACGAAATAGGCCTCCTGACTCATAGCCTTTACCAACAAAGGTTCCATACTTGGATATTACAAATTTATTCGACTCAAAGACAAGCTTATAGCCATCTCTACACAGAAGAGATCCGCTAACAAGATTTTTATTGACGGAGGGGACATAATGCACGTTCTTCAGCCACACGATCTTCCCCGAAGTAAACTTCAGATCGACCGTGCCAACACCACGAACAGAAGCACTTGAACCGTTGCCCATTAGCACGGTTGAAATCCATGCGGTCTGATAAGACGAAAACATGGAAATATCACCGCATACATGTACATTAGCACCCGTGTCAATCAACCGATCAGGAGAATGACATACTGAAAGAATAGTGGGAAATATACCATACCCAGCATCCTTCATGTCAGTGTCTCCAATGACAACATCAGCGGTCTTGCCGCCTTTCCCAGGATGACGCTTTTCATAGTGATTAGGACAACTAGGTTCCCAATGATCAGAATCTCCACACACATGACAAGCACCTTTCTTCTTGTCACTCTTCTTCTTGAAGTTCGTGTGTTGTACTGCCTTGTTCTTCCCATCAAACTTTGCTTTACCATCAAGCTTGCCCTTGTTCTTGAACTTGTGGGACTGGAAGTTTTTCTTCTGTACCAGATTGGCACTAGATCCTCCCTCAATACCTCGAGCACGTGTGTCCTTTGCTCTCCCCTTTTCTTCCACATCAAGAGTACCAATGAGATCCAGAACAGATAACTCCTATCTCTTATGCTTCAGTAAGGCAGCAGAGTTCCTCCACGAAGGAGGAAGCTTAGTGATGATACCCCCGGCAACAAACTTGTCCAGTAGCATGCAGTTGAAGTGCTCAAGTTCTCTAGCAAATGACTGTATCTCATGAGCTTGCTCAACCACGGAGCGCTCTTCAGTCATCCTGTAATCATAGAATTGCTCCATGATGTACAGCTCAGTGCCGGCATCCGAGACCCCAAACTTGGCCTCGAGTGCGTCCCACATATCTTTTCCATTATCAATTGACGCATACGCATCAACTATGTTCTCACCAAGAACACTCAAGAGAGCAGCCTTAAACAAGGTATCCATTTTCTGAAAAGCTTGTGCCTATTGGGCATCTTGCTCTCCTTCAGGTTTGCCAAGAGTGGAGTCATAGCAGCCCATGGTCTGAAACCATAAGACTGCTCTCACGCGCCACCTCTTACAGTGGATACCCTCAAACATAGGAGGTCTCATGGAAGCAGCAAAACCACTCGGGGTGAATTGCCTATAATAAGGTTTTTGGTTTGTTGGAAATATGAGCAATTTACCGAATAATTTTATTAACAGAAATACTAGATAAAGCATGACTAGTATAACAGTGATAAAACAAGTCATGCGATTTGACAAAGTGAAGGTAAATAACATCTGCATAGATGAGCTAGAAACGATCATCTCTCGAGCAGACAGTAGATCGAGATGCATATATGAGGTAGATCCTAACATGTGTAGGGTAAACAGTAGAAGAAGGAATTGTGGCAGGACCTCTAACAGGAAAAACAAGAACACATACTGGACAGCAGCCGGAGCAGAGGCACTGGACTTGGGGTCGGTGTCCTCCATGTCGTCGAGGAGGTTGTCAACGTCGGGGAAGTAGTCGTCAGAGTCCGGGGCGTCCGTGACGAAGAAGTCAGTAGTCGCGCGAAGCGCTCCCCAAAAACCTTATCACCCTTCTCCCGTACATGACTCAAAAGGTGCGATTTCGGAGGCCTACTGTCCCGACTCGCGGTGCACGCCGCAAGCCGGGATGAGGAAGACAGCAGCAGCGCAGAGATTGGAACTGGTGGCGAGAGGAAGGAGAAGTCCTGGTGCGTCTCTGTGTACCCGTCGTGCGTGGCAAAAATTTAACATTGGCTCGGCTCATTCCCACAACCCGCGGCGGAGGAGGAGCGCGCATGGATGTCCCTTTTGTTTTCATGCTCATGCAAGTGGGGAAAGAGCCTCCCTTATAAAGAGGTCCAACTCTCTCTAAACTAGCAATGTGGGACTAAACTTTAGTTCCATCTCTTGCCTTGCACGAATGGGCTACGTGGGCCTCTAGAATTTATTAGGAATTTTTGAAACTGCTATTTGGGCTAGATCCAAATAGACAAAAATTCCAGCAATACTCTTGTCATCTATTCTTGATCTCCTCTTCCTCACGTAGAAACAACAAAAAGTTAAAAATGTTAAAGATTTTTTTAGTAAAAAAATAAGTACATTTAAACATTTGCGACTTGAGAGGGAATCAACTGCACATGTATCATTTATCATCCCATTTGCATGTCTCGGTGAAATGTGACCAAGGACCAGTTCTTATAGCGTTGATAAAATGTATAAATATATTTTCGCTGGCTTTCCTTGGTTCTAGGAGGCGAGGCTACACACAAAGGAGAAAGCGAAGCAGGACAAGACTATTTAACTGACGGCGCCACGCTACTAGAGTGGTGCCAACTGAGCTTCCTCTGCCTCAGCCAAAAGCAAGCACGGCCTCCTCTCCCCCACACACCACGCCTACGCCCCGAGTGCCCGACAGGCCACATCAATCACGCAGCCATAGTACTAGCAGCTGCTACTATCGCTAGGGAGCTCGGCGAGTGCGACGGCAAGGGGGGTCGAGATGGCGGGCGGCGGAGGGCTGGGGAAGGTGAAGGCAGGGAGCCGGCCGCCGTGGGTGGGGCTGGCGGCGGCGGTGTGGGTGCAGGTGGCTGCCGGCAGCGCCTACGTCTTCCCGCTCTACTCCCACGCCGTCAAGGAGGCGCTCGGGTACAACCAGAAGGCGCTCACCATGCTGGGCGTCGCCAACGACGTCGGCGAGAACGTCGGGCTCGTCCCCGGGGTGCTCGCCAACCGCCTCCCGCCCTGGCTCATCCTCCTCATCGGCTCCGCCTGCGCCTTCTTCGGCTTCGGCACCGTCTGGCTCGCCGTCACCAAGACCGTCGCCATGCCCTACTGGGTGGTACGCTCCGCTCCCCCCTTTTCCGCCTCGCCTCTCTCCATCCGCACATCCGCCGTTATCCTGCCTGCACGTCCCGTTTGCTTCCATTGATTTTCATGGTGAACGGCGAGATGAGCTAATTAATTACTAATCCGACCTTGAATTGAAGCGCGCAATTATTCAAATCCACTTCTAGTAGGAGTATTCCATTCTCTGTATGATTGCCATTATTCTTTTCCAATGGTTATGATTGCCATTTTGGTGGTAGTTCGTCGGGCATCAAACGCGTGTCAGTGCGTTGATTGTCTGGTGGAACTCAGCAAGATGGCTCTTAGTGTGCCTTATGATATCTCCTTTCAAGTAAGTAAATCATTGTGTTCGCATTGTATGATTGACGTTAACGCCGGCACTAGACATTTTCCTTTCAGTCTGGCGTGAAGCTAAATGTGGTAGCAGACATACTACTTTTTTTTTTAATAGGGATAGTATTATGTTCATCTGCTGAACTTGTCGTGATTTGGTTGGTCCATTCTCTAGGCAAAATGGGTGCATTGTTTATCTTGCCAATCATTTCTGCAAGTAGGCCAGAGTTGGTTTCGGCGTTGGACCGCGCAATAAATCTGGGTTTTCAATTCTGTTCAACCCGACAGCTCATGCTCACGTATTATGACCCCAATAGCCTCCACGGATGGAAGCAGATCTTCCTTGGCTGATTTTGGTGCTGTTGGATATGCGGGGAATATTTTTCAATGCCAGTTTGTAGAGAGAAATTTGGTGAAAAGGACTTCTTTTCTCATGAAAAGGTCAAGTTGACTTTAGTTAATATAGTTTTATAAGAGCATCTGCAAACCACTTCAGTACTGTAGGTTTACCAGACTAGATGCTGAAAGTAGACCTCAGGGGGGAGGGATGATTTATACTTTCTCCTATAGAATATATGTTGCTACCAAGAACAGTGGTATTACAGAGAGCAAATTTTTAGCGGTTATAATTTTTGTCCTCAATGATCTGGAAATTACTACTTAACTTTTCATCGAAATTTCCGTCCAAACACCAGCTACTTTGACATCATTATTTCTGCATGTTCAATATCTGAGTGAACAAAATAAACCGTCTATGAACAAAAGTGAGCCCTCTCCTATGCGATCAGGCCCCTGAGACAATCCAGCACCTGCTCCTGGCCTGCCCATTCTCCAGGCAGATCTGGCACGCCATCCTGGACTGGACACGCATCCCCTCGCAGCCACCGAACAGCGAGCCGACGCTCATGGACTGGTGGCAGAAAACGAAAAGGCAGACGCCCCACGCGCTGCGCAAAGGCCTACAGTCCATCGCCATGCTCATCCCATGGATGATATGGAAGCACCGGAACGAATGTGTCTTTGAAAATGCGCGACCCTCGGTAGAAGATTTAGTGGATAGGATTAAGGCCGAGGCCAAGTGCTGGGCACAAGCCGGGGCACAGGGGCTCAGGATTGTCCTGCCCACATCCTGGGACGTCCACTGAAGGGGAACTTGACCCTTGTAGCACTAGCCTCCTAGGAGGATTGTAATCTCCCATCTTTTCAATGCAATGAAGCGCAAATCCTTTGCGTTTTCTCGAAAAAAAAAAGTGAGCCCTTCTTTGTTTGATCATCAATTTAGCTTCCGGGCGTGATCAATGATTTACTTGGAGACATGGCCGATGCTTGATTAATACAATACTTGCATTCATTTTTTTTCCATAAATCTTGTAAAGTTCCTCCCGCCAAAATGTAGTTATCTGCCAAAAGAAGCACTGATAATGGTGCTTATATCTCGTTTTATATTTGGGATTTGCCGTGTTTGGTTTGAGCCCAAGCTAACGCTACCAAAATTCGGCTAAGGTTTTGTTTGCCCATGTTTTCGCCAATGTTGGCAAGAAAAATGAACTGGAGTTGGCTAGAGGACATGAGCATGCCAAAATACTGGCAACGATCCATGCAAGAGTCAAAATTTTGGATATGTCCAAAAAATTGGTATGGTTGCAAATTTGGGTTTGAGTTGATCCAGAATTTCAGCCTGTTCTAAACTTCTAGTATTTGAGTTCTGTGCCAACAAAATCCTTTATGATGAGCATGAATGCTCAATGCATGACCTGTTGATACAATGTTTTTCCATTTGGCAAAAAATCTTAAAAGTATCAAATTTACTCTTTATATATGTTCTCTTCTGCGTAATGTGGTAGCTTGATGAATAATCCACACACGATTGTTTATACATCTTGTATGCAAAATTTCAGCATAGTCTATACCATGAACGTTTTCTCTTTGCTATTGCAGTTGTGTATAGCTCTATGTGTCGGCACAAACAGCAGCGCATGGTTGGGAACTGCGGCGCTTGTGACCAACATGAGGAACTTTCCCCTCAGCCGAGGAACCGTTGCTGGTCTCATCAAAGGTTATGTTGCTGTTAGTGCTGCTGTCTACACAGAAACATTCAATGGGATGCTTAATAATTCGCCCACAAACCTTTTGCTGCTGCTTGCATTGGGGATCCCGGTAGCATGTGTTGTGGTGATGTATTTTGTTAGGCCCTGCACCCCATCACTAGATGAGGATAATGCAACAGAACACAGCCACTTCGTGTTCACACAGGTCTCTAGTGTGGTTCTCGGCGTATATCTTATGGTGGCTACAATACTCGGCGATACTTTGAAACTAAGCGCGGCTATCACCTACCTTTTGTTTGGTATAATGATACTCCTGCTCCTTTCTCCACTTGCCATACCAATCAAAATGACACTTTATCCAAGCAAACCAAAGGAGGAGAAGGCCAGCACCCTGCTTGTTCCATCTTATTCAACGGATAGTTTGTCCGGTGCGGATCAAGAGAATGGAGAACCGCTTCTGCGTGGCACTTCGGCGACGTTTGTTCCAGGCAGCAATGATTCTGATGAGACTGATCTGGATGTTCTGCTGGCTGAGGGTGAGGGAGCAGTGAATTTGAAGAAGAGGAAAGGGCCAAGAAGAGGGGACGATTTCACATTTGCTGAAGCCTTAGTTAAGGCAGATTTCTGGCTACTGTTCATTGTATACTTTTGTGGTGTTGGCACTGGTGTCACTGCTCTCAACAACCTAGCTCAGATTGGGACGTCTGTTGGTGCTAATGACACAACTGTTTTGTTGTGCCTCTTTGGCTTCTGCAACTTTGTTGGCCGTATCCTCGGTGGATCAATCTCTGAATATTTCGTAAGGTTAGTTCTCTTTTAACCAGTTTGCAGCAACTTTTTTTCTAAGGATGCTTCACAAGGATTATGCTTGATGAGTTGGGGTATCTGTCCAATGAACACACGTTTGCACAATTATTTGAAAGATCGTGGAAAAATCAGTAATGACCGTGCACTTCTGCGGACTATCGATAGCCATTCTTACATACTAGTTGTTGATCTCAATAGCTTTTATATCTTGCATCTGTTTGAACACATTTTTCCACAATTATTTCAAAGATTTTCTATTGAAAGAAACATCATGAAATAATTTGAGTTGTTACTTCTGAAAATAGTTGAATAACACTTGGCTTGATACATTGCAGAACAAGAATGCTTCCTCGTCCTTTCTGGATGATGTGCACACAAATAATCATGGTGGTAACCTTCCTCCTCTTCGCGACCGGCCTCCATAGCCTGATATACGTGTCAACGACGCTGCTGGGGATATGCTACGGGGTCCAGTTCGCGGTCATGATACCGACCGTGTCGGAGCTTTTCGGGCTCAAGGACTTTGGTCTGATGTACAACTTCATGCTCATGGTGAACCCGATCGGCGCGTTCTTTTTCTCGGCCCTCCTCGCCGGTTACGTCTACGACAAGGAGGCGGAGAGGCAGAACCCGGGTGTGCTGGACCCTTCAAACTGCTTTGGACCTGACTGTTTCAGGCTCACATTCTACGTCTGTGCCATGGTGTGCTGCTGCGGGACCCTGATCTGCCTAGTTTTCATCGCGAGGATCAAGCCGGTTTATCAGATGCTCTACGCCAGCGGGTCGTTCAGACACCCTCGACAGCAGCAGCAGCTGTACTGATGGAGTACAATGGCATCCATATGAAAACTTGCAAGTATGAGAAAAGAAAAGAACAGAGGAAAAATATCAGCTGGTTGTCTACAGTTCCACCTTCTTCTTATTGCATCACATTGCAGTTGCCGCGCTATATATTATCTCGGAGGGTTGTTTGCTTGATTCATCCCTTATTGGTATTGGAGCGTATGAGAGAGTTCCTTTCATTTCATAATTTGTTCCTGTTGTGTAAGGTATACAGCCGATCGTCGTCGACGATAGCGCTGGACGGAAACTTGGGGGTGTGTATATATGAGCAGATCTTGTACTGTTGCAAATCAGGAGACCAGGGAGGTTTTGAGCATGCTGTGGAATGAGCAGTATCTTGTGCATTCCCCTCCGTGGTACCACGAGTTTATGTATTCTATATCAATGTCAGCATCCTGTAGTATATTCTGAACTCTGAGGGAGCAGCTTTGCAGTTGCCAGCAGTACAATTCTTTTGCATATTTCAACACTCGTGGTTGAGCCCATGGATATTTTTCCATTCTCCCCTGTGATAGTGTGGCCACAGAAGTGAGAGATATCTTAAGAACGAATTGCAGTTTGCACCTGGTATCCTGTTGTTTGTTACAGTTTAAAAGTCGTTGTCTCCAAGCTTCGATGCCCGGCCCGAACCCGGATGTTGCGCCGTCGGCGCAGCCGGCCGGAGTGGAGACGGGGAGGCGCTCGGTGCTCTCTTGTTTTTAGTACTACTTTTTGCAATCCAAAACAGAGCAACAGAGATCCAGAACGTAGTGCGTTGCAATCCAAAACTAAGACAAAGAGCGACTAGAACATGCTCTAGCACAGCTAAGATGGACAAGACCAAAGTTCCATCAAGGGGATCGTCTTGGCCTTCTTTGCAGGAGTTGCGCTCTGCGGCTTCTCATCAGTCTTGCCTCGGGGAGGAGAGAGTGGTTCCCCTCCCATCCATCATCAACCTTGAGAACCCGCGGTATGCCTTCAGAAAGATACTGGTTGGTATTTGCCGCGATGTCATGGTTCCTATGGGCGACACGTAATAAAATGGTGATTGAGCGGATCTTCCCGTAGAAGGCGTCTGATTCCTTTTTCAAATTCCTGCCTTTTCTGCAGCACTGTCACCCGCTCTCTAGATAGCGAGATCGCGATCGCCTTGGCCTCATGATGGATGCACTTCTGGATGCGGCTTGTTGGCTATCGTCGTCCTAGGACCGCCCGACGACTGTCGCTTGGTGGCTTTTTTATATTTATCTTCCCTTTTTTGGGCGTGATTGTGCTGTTGACGAGTCGTCGTTCTGATTTCGGACTATGTTGGTGGATATATGGACCGTTGTTTTATCTATAAAGCGAGTCGACAGCCTATTTCGAGGAAGATGCGGCGAATCCTCGGGTGCAAAAAACAACCACCTCGCATGGCACGATGGGATCTGCAGCTAGCCACCC